ATTTCTTCTTGTCAATGTTTTCAAGAGTCTGGACTCTAGATCCAAAGTATTTTTTTTTTCCAATGAACGCGGTTTATGGATGTCACAAAGGGGAATAAAAGATTACACAAATTGAACGTTTTTTGTAATCTTTGATCAACTCATTGCGACGCTGCAGACTTCCTTTCACACCTTATTTATTCTTTGAAAAACTAGTCAACGTTCTTTCTTAGTAACGTCCCTAATTTTTCCTCTCTGTTAGCAGAAGATTCTGTATTAATATTAGGCTACTTAGTTGACTGGTTTCTCTTCGAACAAGTATAAAAGGAGCGGTAATTTTGAAATACCGCAATAGACTCCATTGTGTAATAATCGCAATTCCGACCATATTCGTCTTCTGCACTGCTTTCGCCGAATTTGCTAACTCTGTATAGCATTGGCCAAAGTGCAGAACCGCGTGTCTCCTTTGCGATGTTTAAAAATTATCGTTACTATCTTACTCGTTTGGAAAGGAACAATCCTACTTCACAGCTTGTAATGTATGTAGGATACTCTGCCAACAGAGAAGAAAAATCAAAGAAGTTTTCATGCAACTACATGAAGAAGTTTCCCAAAGGAAAATTATATGCAAAGTTTGACAGAAAGTCTACAACGTCGCAAACGGAAATATGTTCGTTGTGCACTTTGGCCATCGACATGCTATTTTATCTTGTTGAGTCTTTTTGATGTTTTTGTCGTCGGGATGGGGATAGAAAAATCACTGAAAATTTTTTTCTTGGGATATTATTTTGACTTAAAGCGTCGATTCTTTTCGATAAAATTTGGTTTTCCTGAGTTTAATCCGTGCGTATTAAACTTAAAGTCACTTTTTTAAGTTAGAGTAATGTTGTTTTGTTGTATTTTTTTTTACTTAAACTTAACGATAATATTATAATGCTTCTTCAGCTCAAAAGAAACTGACTTTTAGTTGAATCCCCACGGATTAACTCAAAGAGACCAAATTTTGCCGACAAGAGACGACGCTGTAGTCAAAATAATATCTCAAGAGAAAAATTTTCCAGTGATAGTGTTTTCTAAATTCTTCCATATCTTCTTTTTACATAAATGTTTCATGAAAATACTATTCGTCCCAAGTGTTTTGTCAATATTTGCTGCCTGTCTGTAAGTAGGTAGCGAAAAATCTTATAATGCTCCCTCCTTTCCGATGCAGTTTTCTATTGAAAGGGCGGTTTTATATTTTTGAGAGAGACTGTGCTCGAAGCGAGGAGATTCGAGGAGAGGCAAAACATGTTGCTTCTTCAGCTGGAGATATTTCCTCTTATCCTGGAGACTGATACTCTTCAAATGGACGTATTTCTGCCGAACGGAACTATGTGCATTATGACGTGAGCCCTCTTATGCATATATTCTGAAGGGTCTTAGGGCTCATGTTTTAATGCACATAGTTCCGTTTAGTAGAAATACATCCAATTCACTCGTGAGTCTTGATAGAGAGCAAGCCATTTTACTCTAAGGCTACAGACCCTTTTCCGTGAGCTGCACAGCTTACTTACATTCAAAGCAATCTCCGCATGTTACTCCATGCATAACAAACGCTTTCACAGGATTCCTGCCTATTGAATGTTTCAAGATTTGCGGTTAAAATGACGACATTTCAACCCTTTCTATTTAATCAGGAGCGCAGTAAGCCTTGGATTATCCTTACTCATTTTTGGGGGATTAGGTTTTGTTCCACAAGTTTTTCTCACTTTTTATAAGTAAATGGTTTACTTCGTATCTTATCACTTAACTATAAAGGGTGGTTTATACTTTCCAAGTGGTCGCACAAAGCATTTAAAATATTACTCCTAGTCCAACAGACTCGATCTCAGTGGCGTGGCGTGCTTTGCGATTTGTCGATTGCAGGGCCGGATTTACCTACTTGCCGCCCTTGGGCCGCCTATATTCTGCCACCCCCTTCTCATTCGTTCTGAAACATCAATAAAAACCATCAAGTGAACGTGCCGGAGGGGGAGGGGTGCATAAGACGCGTTTACTCGTGTTGGACACATTTTTGTGAAAGCCCTGTCAACACTACTAGCAAAAGTTCACAAAACTTTACGCGAAAGTTAAGTTCCGTAAACCTATCTCTGTGTAGACAAGGCCTTCCATTTATAAGTATTGAACGAAAAAATTATGAAAGAACGAACACAAATGTGGTTTAATAATTTCAACTTCCGCCGCCGTTGCGCCGCGATGACCGCACTGTATTTCGCGGAATGCGTGAAGTATTCATGAAGTCTTGTAGGCGCTATGCGTTTCACGCCGACCGCTGCTGACCGCACTGTGTCTGACGCAATGCGTGAAGTATTCATGCAGTCTAGCAGGCGCTAATATGTGTTATATGCCGATCGCCGCGCCGAGGGCTTCTCCTTTTCATCTCAAGTCCTCGTCATCATTGCTCTCTATGCCACGCCGTTCCAGGCCAAATTGGGTGTTTGGTTTCTCTCTTAACTTGACTAATTAAAGGTGCTACCTCTTTTACCACCGAAAGACGTCAAAATTAAAAATTACTATACTCGCAGGAAGTGAGACATTTTGTCGCCTTTTCTCGTTTGTAATTTTTTTTCTGAATCCGATTTTTATATACCTACATTTAAAAAAATTCAACATTTATCGCCCCCCTTTTACCGCCATGGGCGCCGCGGCCCATGTGGCCACCCCTTAAATCCGGCCATGGTCGATTGATCTGTCATTTAAACCTAGGAAAAAGGGTCGATAAACAGGGCGTTCCCAACGAACACCTTAATGATCGATTCTTTACCATACCTTCAAATGCCATATCGATGATCGATCGTTCACGCCACGCCACTGACGCCCTTACACCAGAGGAGCGACGATATAATATGCAACGGACCCATCCTTACTCAATCATGACAACACTTTTGGCAGTGGCGTGGTGTGCTTTTCGATCTATCGATATTTTCCCATTTGAAGCTGTGTTAAATAATCGATTGTTAAGGTGTTTGCTGCGAACACCCTGTTTATTGATAATTTTCCATAGGTTTAAATGACAGATCAATCGATATATCGCAAAGCACGCCACGCCACTGGCTTTTGGGCAGAGTGGAGTTGGCACAGCATAAGGCCCACATGCTGCTATCTTGCTCCGCTCCAGAACAACACTGAAGGGCCAAGGATAGAACCGTATGAGCCCTCCAAATGTTGCCAAATATTGTTTCATAAAACGCGAATTTTCTGGAAGACTTGAGCTCATTTTCTCTTTAAATTGTTCGGGTTGCAACGATCGGAATGTTCAAATTGTCTTATTTTTTTACTTACATAATACAATTGCCCGGTAACATGAAGGTAAAAATATCATCGGTCTCAAAATCAGACGTAGCCTGAGGAAGTTATGACGAGATACAAAGGTTTGTTGAAATGCCTGGGGTTAAGGGAAATGTTACCTAGCGTCGTCACAAGACAGCTCATTTTCTTAAATTTGTGACACCTTTTCGCACAGTGATCATTCTGATACATGTTTTTTAACCAGAATTTCACGTAGAACACGATTATTACTGAAATCAACTCCTAACGAAGATGTTAACGTTTTTATTTCACACTGGTTACTAGGAATTTAAACTGCCCGCTCACAAGAAACTCAAAGCTCTACGTGAGTCAAATCGCGAACTACAACGGTTTCAACAAGCTTCTCAATCGAGCAATGTTCATTTCGCACCATGTGTTTTCAAACTATAAGCAATTTGCTATAGCTAAGCCAAAGCGTCAAAATTGAGGTTGCCAGTTTTTTTTTATCGCAAAGACGTTCATTATAACGTTTAGCGCGCGATGTGAATCACGTAGAGGATTGAGCTTTCATGATCAGTTCAAGCACCAAGACCAAGAATCATTAAATTTCTTCGTTAGGAGTTAATTTCGGTAATTTTCATTGTGCGCGTCGTATTCTACGTGAAATTTTGGTCAAGAGACTGGCATCAGAATGCTGAAATCCGTACCTTGTCTAGTGGTCCATTACGGTGCGGTCGGTATGTAACGCATGCTAGCAACTAGCGCCTGCAAGACTGTGGGAATACTTCTCTCATTGCACGTTTACTACTTTTGCGCGCTTTCATCGATGAGAAGTCGTAATTTCTCGGTGCCGGACCTACTCTATCGTGCTCAGGAAGAACACCGTATAAGCCTTCAGACGTTGCCAAGTTTCCTCCGATAAAAACCGAAATTACTGGAAACATTGTGAATATTATTTTCCAAAAGTTTCAGAAAATTTTGTGCACAATTTAATCTAAAATATCTGAAAAAGTCAGGGAAAAATATGCACGAATGTTGTCAAAAATACATGTTTTATCAAGGGAAATTTGGCAACTCTTGAATGTTTATACTCTTGATTGAGTTTTCATGAGCGGGTGGTTTCAATTCAAGCACCATAAGAATCATTGAATATGTTCGGAAGGAGTTGATTTCGGTAATTTTCATTGTGCGCGTCGTATTCTACGTGAAATTTTAGTTAGGAGGCTTGTATTAGAATGCTGAAATTCGTACCTCGTCTAGTGGTCCATTCTACTGTGCTGAGAAAAACCACCGTATAAACATTTGAATAATGCCAAACCTTTGAGGTGATTCGTCAAGCTCAAAAGAAGTGGTCGAACTGGCATGCGCATCTTTTAGGTCAAAAACCTCGCATTCGATACAGCTATCGATTTCTGTATCGAATGCGAGGTTTTTTTCCAAATACTATTCTGCTTTCATCTCTTTGAATTATTCCGATTTTTGGGTTTAGAATGATTCTTTAAGCTCATACTTTGTTTTGCTGAAAATTCAAAATCTGCCAAGATTTGTCACCTAAAATATGCGATATATCGCATGACAGTTCGACAACGTCACTTGAGCTTGACGAATCACCTTAACGATGAAACATTTATTTTTGAAGAAGTTCATAAATATTTTTCTTTGAAATTTTCAAATACTATGAGAACATTACAACGTCGCAACTGATGAAGTTTTCGTCTTTCTGTTTGGAGCAGGTCGGCTCGGCGCCCAGATCGGAGTGATATCTGCGAGCGGAAATAGGCGAGCGGGAGCCGCCATGGACGGAGAGAGGGGAGGCGGACCCCCTCGCACCCCCGCCACCACCCCCGTCGGCTGACACCCAAGCGCGGATGCCGCCCGAAATGATAGACAAATGTGTGTCAACAGATAACGATTTCACAATTCAGGCAAGTTTCGATTTCTAGTTTCCAAATGCACAGCCCCCCCCCTCCTCTTAACTGAAACTTATCGCAAAGTTGCAAGCGGAAGCTTTCCTGTTCCTTGGTCGACGTTTTCTCGAACGTCAACCGGAGTTCCAATTTCGAGAGGTAACTCCAGTCTGACTGTTAGCATCTGATAGTAGACTAGACAGGTATACTTAACTTCAGACTTCAAGCGAATCTTCAGCGTTAGTTCCGCAAAACACCACCATGCCGCGCTGCTGAAACGTGGCTTCGACACCAGCGGCGAGCTGATTGTTGAAACCGATGGCAAAGAAAACAAACGGGATGTATGGAGGGATCCTACAGCGGGCCGATTATTGAAATTGATAGACAAAGATAGACAATAAGAAGACAAAGAAAACAATAATAGATATGGAGAGATCTTATTGGTGGAAGCTGGACAAGCGGATGTTCCCAATGGACAAAAGATGGTAGACAATAGACTAACTAACGGTAACCCATAAGAGACCCGATAGTTAGTCCATCATTTTCTCCCTTGGTCTATAGGAACCACCCATTTCAACCAATAGGATCGCTCCATTCTCCCTATATCTTCTTTGTCTATCGCTTTGTCTATCGCTTTGTCTATCAATTTCAAGAATCAGCCCACTGGTGGAAGCGGGTGGTTGCAATGGATATAGGACACCTCCTATGGGCGATAATAGACGGTAATTGACTGATCAACGGCAACCCACGAGAGGCCCTATAGTTAGCTCCTCATTTTCCTTCTTAGTCTCTAGGAACCACCCATTTCAACCAATAGGATCGCTCCGTACTCCCTATGTCTTCTTTGTCTATCGCTTTGTCTATCAATTTCAATGATCGGCCCGCTGGTGATTAGTTTCAGAACGCTACGATTTTAGTTCGGTGCTAACCAACGAGGTTAGTTCCTAAAAACACCACTATGCTACGCTGCTAAAACGAGACTTCGAAACCAGTGGGCTAATTGTTGAAATTGATAGGTAAAGCTATACACAAAAAAGGCAAAAAGAATATGGAGGGATCCAATCAGTATTAGCGAGCGGTTATACAATGGAGGTATGGTAATAGAGTGACTAACGATAACCGACAAGAGACTCTTTAGTTAGTCCATCATTTACCCCCTTAGTCGCTAAGAACCACCTATTTCAACCAAGAGGATCGCTCCCTACTCCCTAATTCTTCTTTGTCTATCGCTATATCTATCAATTTCAATGATCGGCACTCTGGTGAATCTTCGGTTTCAGTTCCGAAAAACACCACCATGCCATGCTGCTAAAACGTGGCTTCGAAACCGACGGGCTAATTGCTGAAATATATAGACAAAGCTATAGACAAAGAGAACAAAAGGGATATAGAGGGATCTTATTGGTGGAAGCGGGTGGTTGCAATGGACAAAGGAGGTTGGTAATCATTTCCTCCTCTAGTCTATAGGAATACCATACCCATTATCTCAATCAATAGGATCGCTTCATATTCACCATGTCTTCTTTGTCCATCACTTTACTATCAATTTCAACAATCAGCCTAAAGTGATTATTTTCAAAACACAACGATTTTCAAACGATACTGTTTAACGTATGTATATGAAATGTGCTTGCAGGTGTGAATAATGCATTTCTCGTCAGAAATAAAAATACAAGGTCCATTCGCATAAAGTATAAATGGACTCTAGTCCTCACGTGCGATGGTGGATCACACATATCCTCTCTCCGTCCCGCCGGCAAAATGCAAAGTTAATTCCACGTTAAATGGGGTGTAAAAAGGGTGATAAAGGAAACGGGTTTTTAGCCAGGAAACGCGACCGGCACTTGTGGCACGGCCACGGTGCAGTTCCTGGCGTCAGCGCGAGGGGGTAAAAAATGATCGAAAACGGGGAACGAGCGCCATGCTGCCACGAGACAAAACCCCCCAAAATTCGCCAGCTGGAAACTGTTTGTTTTCACGAGAATTTCCTCAACGCCGCCACCGTCCGTGAACGCGCATTTAAGAGGGCGCAAGCGACGAGGGGGGGCGGGGGGCGCAACTCCCGGATAATCCAATTGTTTGCTGAAAACCCCCGCGAAAATGCGGGGAGGGGCACAGCATTTGGAGCTGTCCTTCTCCGTGTTTGTCTTGCTGCGGCGTCAAGTTTCAAAGATCGGGCGGTAAGCACGGGAGATGGAGAAGGTCAAAAAGAACACTGGGAAAAAAAAAAAAAAAAAAAAAAAAAAAAAAAAAAAAACAAACCACACACACATTGGATCTAGAGTCCAGACTCTTGAAAATATTGATAAGAAAAAATACTCTTAATTCAATCAGATTTAAGCTTAAATCAAAAGGAAATCCGCTCAAATTAAGAGGTCGTTAAAAATTTTCATCCTAATAAGCACATTTTATTTATGAACGATGTAATTTCGAGGATGATGCTCAAATTCAATGAATGTGCGATATGAATCCCCCACATGCCCGTTCATTCCCGTGATATTTATAGTTGCGATGGGTAGGATTGCGATTCAAGGGGTATAGGAGCCATGCACACTAAACGAGCGTAAAACCACCCTTAAAACCCCCTCTGGAAAGAATTTGAGGTCGGCCGCGGAATTTCGGTGATTTTTCTTCACACTGGAAAAAGAACATATTGGATCTAGAGTCCCGACTCTTGAAAACATTGACAAGAAAAAGGACTCATGATTCAATCAGATTTAAGCTTAAATCAAAAGGAAATCCGCTCAAATTAAGAGGCTTAGTTCTTGATTTAAGTTTAAATCTGATTGAATCAAGAGTATTTTTTCTTTTCGACGTTTTTAAGAGTGAGGACCTTTCATCCGATGTGTTTTTGTTCCAGTGAATAGAGAATTTGCAGGTGTCTGAAATTTGATGAATTTCGTATTTAAGTGGAAACTACTGAGTGAACTGAACATGAGGATACCCTTGGTTCATGAATTGAACAATTATTTGAGAAGATATGACAAAATGATCTAATCTGCTAAAATGCGTGCACTGGAAAAAATTCGCTTGGATCTAGAGTCCAGACTCTTAATAACATTGGCGAGAAAAAATACTCTTGATTCAATCCGATTTTTCCTTGCATCGAGGAGGCAAGCCTCTTGATTTAGGCGGATTTCCTTTTGACTCAAGCAAAAAGTCCGATTGAATCAAGAGTATTTTTCCTTGTCAATGTTATTAAGAGTCTGGACTCTAGATCCAAGCGACTTTTTTTCCTGCAAATGTGTGTGTGTTTAAATGGGAAATGCCGCCAGATGGCGTTACTAGGCGGTGCATTTTCTCACTTTCAAATCTATTTTTATACTATTTCCCATATCAGAAAAATTTTATAAAAAATACTGTGAAATCAGTTCTTTAGGCACTTTCAGATGAAGCAATAAAACATTTGCATGCGAATTCTGAGATGCATGAGATGCAATGTGCATGCAGATTCTGAGGTGGTGACCAGTGACCCAGAAGTTGAGTGACGGGTTTAGAAAACCTGTCCTAATTTTCAGAAACTCGCCTTGCGAAGTGCTTAATCAAAGATTCATCAGTCTTCATCAGGCAGATTTTATTTGATTGTTTGCTTAACAAGTTGCTCATCAATTATAGGCTCGAAGTAGTGTTAACATCAAACCTTAACTTCTGCTCCAAATATTTACTGTGCTTTGCTTTGGGGATCATCTTGACTTTGTACCACATCTTACATCTATGAACTGAAAATACGCAACATTTGACAACGATGTTATGACTCTGCTTTCTGCCTGCTCTCTAATGTCCCTGGAAACACTACAAGGACCTAAAAAAACCGCAGATTTCACTCGCCTGGAACCCTTTCTCGCTAAATCTTGCATGACAGGGTTGGTAGATTTGGGAAAAGATTGCACGTACAAATTTTTCAAGCATGGAATGAACCAAAAGTCAGGCTTAGAATTTAAGAATTACGGCATCACATCAAATGGCATACTTTCTCGTGAAAAGTTTACGCTAAACAAGTTGAACAGATTGAAAATTCTCAGAATCAACTCGATCGTCGAATTAAAAAAACCTCCAGCTCTGAACACCATATCGTCACCTTCCGGCCAAAGTATCACAAGCGCCACTTTTCCAACTTTTTAGAAGACACGAAAAACTGATTTGGGACCGCATAAGACCGCTTGAAATTTGGAATAATGATACTTCCTACCTTGAATTTAAATAAAATTGTTCTGAAAAAAAAAGAAAGAAAAAAATCCTTTGAAAACTTGCACTTATGTGATACGGACAAGATTCTCGGGATAGTTTGAGGAACACCAGCGCTTGTGATTTAAAAGCTCATCAAATTTAACGGAGTTTTTTTCCATATTTATTCATTTTTAATCCAGAAAAATTATTATTTTCGTATGTAAATGCATTTTATGAATTCAAAACCATATATGGATACCATTTTGGAAACCATTTTGGATATTTTTGACGCGTACTTCGTTTTCCTTGCGTGGTAGTTTGATTAGACTAGAAATGGGTATGCTAGGATGCAGACTTATTTATAACCTTATTTGGTTGTAAGGGCTATGACGTGCACATTATGACTAAGTATTGCTGATAGAAAAATATAAATGTTGAAATGTCAGAGAACACGCACACGTGTAAACGTGCGAAAAGCCAAAACGCCTTCATTTGCTTGTATCCGCAACCAGCTCAGTCGCCACGTGATGATAATGGACCACTAGACAAGGTACCTACAAATTTAAGCATTCTCATACATGTTTCTTAACCAGAATTTCACGTAAAGCACGATTCGCGCAACGTCAATTAATGAAACAAACTCCTAACGAAGATATTAACGTTTTTATTTCACATTGGTTACGAGGAATTTGAACTGCCCGTTCACAAGAAACTCAAAGCTCTACGCGAGTCAAATCGTGCACTACAATGGTTTCAGCAAGCTTCTCAATCGAGCAATGTTGATTTCCCACCATGTGTTTTTCAAACGATGAGCAATTTGCTATAGCTGAGCCAAAGCGTCAAGATTGAGG